CTTCCTAGTTGATGAGACAGCATTCCTGAAATAATCCAGATAAAAAGCATACATGAAGTACATGTAATACTCATTTCATTTGGCTAGAAGTCTTCATTTTTTTTAAACAAACAGGATTTCATGTGGTTTTGCACACAATACTGTGGAAGCATAAATTAATGAAGCAAAACAAAACTTGGGATATATGTCTGTTAGAAGATGGATTTTTGTAATTTATGTTTCAGTTAAAGTGCAAGATAATGTCTTAAATAACAGTATTATCACTACATCTCACCTTCTACTGGCTTACAATGAAAAGAATCTGCTACTTTTTGGACAAGGTCAGTGATAGCATTGTTCTAGAAAATAATATGAAACATTTTAGTGAAAACAAGAAAATCAACAGCAGTTGATTGTCTATCATTTTGACCATCATTACTGGAATTATGTTACTATAARTAAATGAGTGTACTGTGGGATTGCCACTGGTGTTTGGTAYATTACCTCTGTGCCTGGTTTGACCATTCTGTAAGCAACCTCTGAAGCCAAATATGCTGCTTGGAGTACATCTGCCTTGCGGCCTGTAATTTTGTTTTCCTGTCAAACAATAAAGTATTGAAAGTAAAGAAAAGTTCAAGTTAGTCAAGATAGTGCATGTCAAAATCTTCCAGTACAGAGAGAAAGTAAGGAGGGATATGTTCTATCCTAGTCTTCTTTATCTTTTTTCTTGTTGGACTACCTTTGTATTKCCTTYAGTCATTGCAAGGGGACTGAGAACAAGCGAATCAAAGAGAAGGAAGAGGAGTTACTGGGTCCTAAGTGTGTTCCTTATTTGCTTGTAAACTTTATATTGTGTATAGTTTACCTTAGATGCTCCAACTACAATTGTATGTCCAACTACAGCAATAAATCCATCAATATGTACACCCAGATCTCTAAATATCAAATAATATGGTTTTTACAAAACATATCAATGAAATATAAAACAGGATTTGTTAGTAGGAAACCACAAAATCTATAAATAACTGAATTAGTGACTTTCACAACTTGGTTATRATATTTTTCCTCTCAGTCATTCACTAAATTCTAGAATCTACATAGCTCTAGGTTTTAATCATGGACTTACATTTTCACCAAATCACCATCATTTAAAGTGATATCCGGTTCACTTTCAAGAGGAGAAAAGTGACAAACACAGTTGTTGACAGARATACATGTTGGGAAAGCAATTCCTATGAATAAATTAAGATAATGGATTAATTTTTACCATTATAAAACCACAGGGGAAGYGTTGGAGGAGAGGGAGAGATACAAAATAACTCAGTATTTGATGTAAATACAAAATRGGATATTTTTACCTTTTTTCATTTCTTTCTCTTTTTTATAAACCTTATTGGTTTCTTCAAGTATCAGTTTATCACCAAGATCACAAATTGATCTAGAAGAACTGTTTGCAACAGCACTTGCAATAACCTTAGCAAGAACACCTGGATTGGAATATTAAAATACAAAATATCAAAGTAAAGAAAACATACAAATATATTACAGTGATGAAGTTGATGAGGGCTGATAACCAAGAGCCAAAATGGCTTTATGGTATTTTAGCAACAAAATACTTTATTATATTATAAGGTTAACACGGCCTTTTAAATGATAAAGCCTGCTTCAAATATGGAATCTCACATGAACCCAATTCAATGAAACTATTCTAATATTATTCTATTCTCTTCTCATATTCTCATTTATTTACTGTGCATTTGAATTGGTTGGGTCTTGTGAAGTATAAAAATGGTGAATCTTTTTATTGCTATCAATGCACAGAATTTATTTCCGTGAATAATGATGTTCAAATCAGTTCTTGTACATCTGTGGTATTTTTGGCAATCCACTCAAGAAAACAAGGGTTATATCACAATCAAAATATAAACATTGGCACAGGGAGTGGATTTAATAAATCAAGACCGATATCTTCTTGATAAATTGTAGAATGTTTGAACATTTGAATCATTAGAATTAGAAAAACTCCAATACAACACTAGAAAAAAAAAATTTAAGCTTCCATATAGTCAAAGAACTTATTGTACAAAGCTGTACAATTTGTTGGCAAATGATTGAAAGAAAAATATTTTTTGAATTGAAACACACACAAMATAGCAAGAAATCTTCTTGATTAAAAACCGTTTGTGAAAAGGCAAAGGGATTATTTTTCAGACGAAAAAAAGGCATGCATCYGACTATTTTAACAGACTTGTACACACTGCACATCGATCAGCACGTGGATAACTAAACCTAATTTTTMGTTTAGCGTATAAAAGTTTAGATTATATAAAATATTGAACATAAAAACAAATACTTGTATGAGCGAAAAGTGAGAAAACAGCGAGAAATGCTGTAAATTTCAGTATATGATGATGTCATGTAGTGGTGCAATTTTTCAGCCCACAACATCCTACTTCTGATATTYAGAGAAACTTACGATTTGCCATATCCCCAGCCATTTTGTACTTTGTAACGACAACATCTTCAGAAATTGTGGGCTCTTCCTCTTCGCTGGAATCTACCGCTTTATCGGCCATGTTTTTTTAAGCGATAAGACAAAAACGATGACTAAACCGAACAAGATGGCTTCTTCTGCACGTGTGATGTGATAATACCCATAATTCACTGCTTCGCGCGTAAACCGACTTTCTTCTCCTGACGGGGGAGGGGTGAGTGTTTTTAAAAAGAAAATGAAGCAATGAAAATACTTTTCTCTTTCAATTTAACAAGACTGCCCACTTTTTAAATTCAAACCGACAGATCTCAAGATTGGTCATCTTATTCAGAGAGAAGTGCAAAAAAAAAAAAAAAAACTTGCCTAAAATCAATCTTGCAACTGTAACGTATCTGCAGACATAATCACTCTGGATTGAAATAAYAAATTTATTTTCTGCCTACAGAATATAAAATAGCTATAAATATAGTATTATTACTATTTCATGTTGTCAACTGTGCACAATGTAGTTAAAAKTTTCACCCACTAATATTACTAATTGCTTTTTATTCTTGCATGAAACTAACTCAATGTCTAATGGTCCAAGCACTATTTATACTGTAGTATTAAATACATTTTAAATATTAAAATGTTAAAATCATTTTAACTTATTCTTTAATTTTCTAAATACATTTACATGCTTATACGGTGTGCATTTGATGTTATAAATTCTTTCTTTTATAGTATGATTTCATTTTTGTAGCACTGACTAAGCTCCTTGTGTGGTAACACAATTGAATTCAATACAATCAGTTCTGAATCAATTGCTACATTACGACCTGCAAAAACAAAATTGCATATTAGATTAATATTAAGAACTATCTAAGATCAAAGTCATAAGCAATTAAAACTATAATTATAATAAACTGATTATTTCCACCCTCTTTCTGCAAGCATGCATAGGTTTTGTATTCTTGGGAAGGTCTCAATGGCTCCATGGCTTGCCAATGACTTTGTCATAGTTTTCATGCAATGACCAAAACACAGAGCCAAATTCATAAAGAAAGAAGCACATCCATGCAAAGAGTAGACTCGGCAAGATACTTTTAAATAATTAAAGAAAGTCTTAGCGGGGAAAATTACCTAAAATTGTTATTGATGGTGTTAGCTTGCCATCACTACCAAACAAAGACTCTCCATCTGGTCTAGCAAACTGATCATTAGGGTTTGGATCACAACGATGGCCTTCTACTCTTGACCACTTTCCCACAGTACAATTCCATCCCACAATTGAATACAACACACAGCAATGGTCCTGAAAAACAGTAGAGAAACCCAATAAAGAAAAAAGTTTCAAAAGAATCGCAACATCATGTTATCTTTGTAACAAACCTTCAATTCAGCACCATCTAAAATAATAGATTCTCTAATCCTGGCCCCAGGTCCAATAACTACACCACTTCCTACACAAACATTTGGTCCAAGCTGAATGACAAAGACAACAATTGTTAAACAACACTGAAGGAAATTGAAGTTGAACTGCCTTATACTAATTACTCTTTCCTCAATCCCAAAACCTAGTAAAACATTTGCATTTTATTAATATTGTTTCACATATACTTACAACAGCTGTTGAGTCTACAACTGCACTTGGATGAACATAAACATCACCTGGAACAAAGAAATAATGGTATAAAAATTGTATCACTACATGCAGCTCACATTATTAATATCAGTCATACTCACCAATAAACGTAGGTTTGCCAAAGTTGTTCTTGGCTAATCTCTCTGGGTGAACTTTATGGTACAATTCAAGAAAATTCCGGCTGGCATAAATAGCTGATCTGGATTTAAGTATTAAGCAAAACCTAATGTCAACTTATCTACTCATGTCTCAGTACAGTCTGCACACACAATTTCTCTTACCCTGCACTTTTGATTGTCGTCCAGAAATTGTTTGTCTTATAAACAAACAATTCACCAATACTTGCTAAATGTGTCATAAGGTCTTCACCCATTCTAAGAACCTCTGGACCAGATGATAAAACATCATTTCTGCCAGGAAAAAATGTATTTGAATTGAAAAAAAAGTCAAAAAAGAAAGATCACTTCCTTCAAAGGCTAATGAGATAGCTGTTGGACTGCATCTTTTTTAACAGACTTTTCAGAGATTGATAAGTTCAACATTCTATTTGAACCTGATATTTCCATAATCATTTAGAGCTAGTATGTGAGTAATTTCATCTCAAAAACACTTGTGATATTAATTTATGTTTATTTTTACCTGGCATTTTCAAATTTATGTTTCATGAGTTCACTCATGGTTTGAAATACTTCATTTGGTGAGAACACATAAACACCACAATTAATAAGCTCACTGACAAACGTCTCTGGCTTTTCCACATAATGAACAACCTAAAAAAGGAAAAAATGCATTAATAAAGTATTTCTAGAAATTAGCCTTGTATACATAAAATATTGAAGTGTCTAATGTTAGTTTACCTCATGACAATCTTCTTTTTCTACCAAACAACCATAGTTTTGTGCCTGTTTCTTGTTGGCCTGRGCACAAAATAAACACAATTGTTACTGAAATCAATGGAGAAAGATTTCTCATTTTCCCATTATATCTGACCACTCCCCCTTATTAAGAGTTTTGTCCCAACACAGGAAACCCAAATTAAGGTGAAAACAATTACATGTGAAAGGGTATGTGTAAATAACAGATTCATCCTAATAATGGTTGGTTCATAATACACATACTGTACCTCTGTAGCCATAATGGTGTGTTTACCAGGGTGGCTTTTATGGAATTCAAGAAGTTCTTCAAAAGGGAAGTCACAGCTGATGTCTGCATTAATGACCACTAACCCCTCTGGATTWCCAAATGATATTTGATCTCTGAAGTGATAAATACCACCCACTGTTCCCAATGGTTGATATTCCTGTAAATATCTGAAAGARATGATTGAACAATCATAAATACAGTACAGACATGAGGATTTCCTTATACAGTACATATATGCCAATTACCTTATACTTATCCCAAATTCTTGCTGTGCTGAGGCAATAAACTTTGATAGAGGTTCACTTGACTGATAAAATCCWATTAGAATTACCTCTCGTAGGCCTGGTATCTGAAGAAGTGCAGTCAAATGTAAGCTTTATTGACATTGCAGTGAACATTTTATGATATTGATATACCTAGTTTGAAAATAAAGCAATCACTAAGCAGCCAASAAACTCAACCAAACAACCAACCAATTACTCAATCAATCAATAAAACAATCAATCAATATTATTTATTAATCAATAATCAATCAATCATTTAAAAACAAAGAAAAAATACGTATTATTATCTATCAAATAATCTGCTTCAGTTATAGCTAAAATTTCAAGTAGCTCCTATTCTTTAAGTTAAACTTCTCTCTATAGGGTCCTATAGCTTTGAAAACCAAGCTGGTGGGCATCATCCTCACCTTTTTGCAAGCTTCTATGTGATGTTGAATTATTGGAAATCCTCCTACTGGGAAAAGTGGTTTAGGAAGCTCTAATGAAAGAGGTCGAAACCTCGTCCCTRAAAAGACAAGATTACACATTCAATCTCCAAATCCAAACTCTTGAAAACTTCAAATTGTTGTTGATCATGTTGTATTTTGCAAAACATTGAAGGTTTGTTTTGACATCTTCCCCACCTTTCATTGGACCTCCAATAAGAATGATTACTTTAAACATTATTTCRGTATTTTGGTTGGAATTCTACTAAAGAAGCGTGAAGATCGAAGACGCTGCAAACTTTCTATAACATCATTCCCATGGAAATCACTTCAAGTTTCWAAATATCTTGCCACGGTGGACTCGGCTGAAAAGAACTGGACATAGCGCGGCTACCTAGCAAAACACAGGTAGTCCGAATCGAATTTTTTTTGTTTACTGAAAAAGAAAAGGAAACAGAAAGAAAACAGAAAATTGATTATAAAATGAATTCAAAAAGAAAACTATGAGAGAAAAAAGATCATTTTTCAAAAAAGATAAAAATATCCTTGGTCCAGGATTCCATAAATCCTGACTTCCTGCAGGGATCCGATCCCATTCCATCTCAGGACCTTCGGGTTGAAGCACAGCGCCTTAACGCGGTGCGCCACTGGACCATGCTCATTTACATGATAATAGACCACTTGACACTTTCGCCGAATAGACTACCCCGATTTGACATTCTACTTTCGATAGTTGCCTAGTTAGTGCAAGGGGTTATCCATCAGTGTCTGGGGCCGGATAGCTTCTCCCTCACTGGCTTTTTAGTTAGCGCGAAGTTAGGACCAATTATCGGGATAGCATGGAAGAGCCGAAATCTCTARCCGGAATGTAAATCGATTCGACGCCTCAGCTTCACAGAATGTCTCGGGGGAATCGTCCCAATATTTTTCAATGTTTTGGCCAAGGGGTTCGAGTCCCAGCACGGTCTTCTTTTTTTCTTATTAATACTTTTTCTTTTTCCCCTGTTCTTTTTTTCTTGTAAATTATAGCATCATTACTGTGTAAAGTAATTTTAAAAGTTTCTATAGGGGGTACTCCCCTATACTCGCTATACGGGGACGTGCCGCCAACCAGGGTATCGTTTTCAGCGATTTTACTCTGAAACAGGGTATCGATTTCAACGAATTTTCTCTGGAACAGGGTCAGGGTTGAATTCCGGAATTATTGATGCTGGATAAAAATTCATGGGGTAAAAATTCGGTCTACACGCAAGCTAGTGCAGGATTTTACTCTGGAACAGAGTATAGTTTTCAGCGATTTCACTCTGGAACAGGGTCTGGGTTTTGAGGTCCCAGCGGCACACCCCCACCCAAGGGGGATTTAGGGGGATTTAGTTTTGCTTATTTAGACACTGACCCCAAAACCCCACCAAGAGATTTCGTTAGTTGAAATTTTCATTTTTAATTTACACATATTTATTTAGTTTGAAATATTAACTATAATATACTATGATTATTACAGTGGACATTGGAAATAAAATGAACCTAAAACTCGTATTCTATAAGATCTATGTTCTTTGMCAGCTACCATCCGCGATTTGGCGTCCATTTTTCGATGATCTTATTCTCTTTGTCGTGAACGAAGTACACTGGATGAAGAGCAGCTGTCGCACAAGACTAAGGATGAACAATTCAGCGTAAGCTTAGAAAAACACTGCATACATGTCAATATACACACAGTTCATACTCACGTGATATGGTATTATTGACAGGATTGACCCTATTGGGTACTTAGAATAGTTTAGAGGCTCGTCTTCATTTGCTGCCTTTAGAGTTCCTATTTCTTGTGTAAATTTAACCATTCTGAGGACGACAAAATCAAARTATCTTTTAGTATTGATTGCATTGTGRGAAGAGTCTAGGGTGGGATAGAGGAGATCAGTCACTCAGAAACGGTCTTTTAACGTTAAAACGTTTGGGACGTTGCATACCCACACATAGGACTCCCAAGACGCCATGAAAATTTGGAAATGAGAATTTGATCTCAATTCTACAACTTACTTCAACTCAGGATGCCCATCAATAAGGCAGAATGGTTTATCTGGCAGCCTACCCTTCATACCGTCATGACTCAAAGCAGTAAAACCACAGTCAACGAGCAAATAGCCCCGATCGGGGTAATGTCCAATGACTCTTGTAAGCACTCTAATGGCAACATCCTCTTGTTGGCATGATCCCACAAGCACCTGCTGGTAATCTAAAGTATAAATACAAATAATTGTACTTTATTTCACACTGAAAAGAAATATATCTAGTCAAGACAGACACGGCTGATTTTTCGGGTAACGCCCACATTTTAGATAGCTGAACGTTTTTGGAACTATTTCTTAGTGAGATTTTTTGACGACGCAAACCAAAAAAGGCTATATGCTGCGCGCCGTTCAAATGATTGCCTGCCTTGCGGCTCTAGTAAAGGTGGGACGCATTGACACGCAGAGTTTTCAGGAGAATTTAGTAAGTGCACGATCGAAAAATTGCGCTTCGTCATAAAACGACGGTTGTGAGATCACAAAACACTTTACCCACCATAAAAGACATAATTGCCAGGGTGAAATTCCGTAATACTCTGTAAAACATCTTCCGCGGGTTTGGAACAAGTGGGAGTTGATCCTACTCCAACTGTTGGGCATTCGATACCTGCTTCTTTCAGCCTAAACTGAACAAAATACAATATAACTATAACCACACGACAACCATTAACAAAGCACGCTCACCCGTGAGTAATATTTTCAACACTCAAAGATAAAATCCGTATCTACGCGCGCCCATGTAATATCCTCTATCATAGTCTTAATAAGCGACGAGATGTCAATAATGTATAATGATATGATGATGACAACAATGAAATATGCAACAAATAATGAAATCAAGGGGGGCAGGTTTAAGTTTCTAAAAGAATAGGGGTAGGTCAAAAAAATTATGTTGGGGGAGGGTGGGTTACTTTTTGTATGGTGAAATGCACACGATAGATATAATAAATAAAACAATATATATAAAGCCATTTAAATTCATGCATGTAATAAGATTGGAAGTACGATTTAAATGACATCTGACAGTAATAGTAGTAGTATGGGGTGGGTCACAAATTAAATGCTATACACCAGGGGGTGGGCCAGAGAGTAATTTTGTATTATGTACACCCCCCCCCAAAATCCCCTCCCCCCATAGATCATGACTGGTCCCTTAAGCAGGCTTCCTTAACACAAACTCTTAGTTGARTTCTCGCAGAAAGACACTGATTCAGCAGCAATAAATAATAATTATTGAAAACACTTTGAAGAAGAACTGTGATGAGAGAAAGAGAGCCAGTTGTAAGGACACTGGACAACAGGGAGAGAGGCTATGGACAGACAAATCAGTGAAAACAATCTCTCTTTGTGGTAAAGAAGATAATGATGCATACAAAACCTTGAAGCCAATTCATTGAGCTGCTTCCAAGAACTACCACTATACTCTTTAATTTGGCTTTCATTCTGAGCTTGATACGAGTTTCCAGTATGTATATAGATACCCTTGAATTCTAACAATGGAGAACTTATAATTTCCTTGGCTAGGGTGACACAGTATGGATCATTGTATTTGACACCAGCTAAAGAAAGCAAATATTTAAATAGTCTCATTCACGTTTCTCTGGGCCTTCCTGAAAGGTAGCTGTGGCCTTTGCATTGTAGAGAGACTTCTATTGAACATGCATTAATGATTATTTACAGGTATCTATCATTGCAAACTCAATGGTTGTCTCACTTCAATGTAAAGGTTCATTTACCTTTCAAGATGACGCAAGGAACCGTTAAGGAGACTAATATTCTCCAACAAATACTACTTCAATTATCTTGGACAAAACCCTTGGGACTTTTTAAATGGGCTATATGGTTATTTTTGTGGTATTGCCCAGTTGCCCCTCTACACTAGAAAACCACCCCCTCCCCATCGTAGAATGTTGTCAGCCGACCAAAAGCAAACCAATGACCMAGCTACAATATGAAGGGGTCTAGGCAAGAAATATATGGATGAACAAAGATAGTCACGAAAAGTAAGGATGAAAAATCTAATTCAAAAGTTAATATGAAAGAATTCCCAAGGGAAATCAAAAGCCACACCACTTTTGAGTTGTGCTCACCACTCTAGACAAATTACAGGCATTGATGGTAGTGAAGAATTAAGGAGACTACTTAACACCAGAAATGTATGGCAGGAGTCAATAAATAAGTTATGAACAAGTTTAAACAATTTTTTTTAAACAAGTTTTGCTATATCCTATATCAGCAATGTCATTTTAAAAGAATGCATTACCTCTGCAATAACCACAGTCTACTTTCATGAAAACAGACCATTTCTTTCCCTCTGGGGGAGGGTGGTTTTTTAAGGCTTGAAGGTGGACGTCATTGTCAATGAACAGATGAAACATCTGTAATTGCTCCAGTAATTTTGCAGCATGTGGAATACAGTTTGGTGTAATGAGTCTRCCATATGTGATATCATCAAACCCTCCATCAGCAAAGAATTCTGCCTCTGCCAGAGTGGATACAACAATGCATCTTTTTGTGCCATTGGTCATTAAGTAGCCTGCCTCCCTGAAAAATACACAACACATCAATAATTATAAAGTGAACTGAATAATGCTGTGTGAAGCTATGAAACTTGTCATAAAGAACGTTCATTATTTTTTCCCTCCCAACTTTCCTATATTCCAATCTTCCATCCATCCTTTCTTCATTCTTCCTTGAGAGGGCTTCGGCAGCCCTTTATCATTTCCTGTGTGACGGACATGCTGATCAGAGATTCCTATATTATAATATTCCTATATTATAATACTACTAATAATATTTTCTAAAATACTTAGGATACTACGCGCGCTGTGATTGGTCGAAAACCATGTTTGATTACAGTATCAAAACACGCTCGTGCGCGTCAAAAATTTCTTTTATTCTTTTAATTTTAGAAAAGAAATAAAAGACGAAATTCCGTGTTTGATACTCTGATCAAAACACTTGGGATGTAGGGAGAGCACTCGAAAAGCTACGCGTCGTGGTTTCGCTACGCTTCTCTCGTGCTCTCCCTACATCCCGCGTGTTTTGATCAGAGTATCAAACACGGAATTTCGTCTTTTATTCCCTAAATAATACAACTATATAACTATAATAAACCTCCCTAACTACCGGGGGGAATGTCAACTCCAAGGAACACTGAACATTTCTTTTATGGTCATTGCAGTACCTTGACGCAAATGCTTTGTTTATTGATGGTTTTCAACCATTCCCAGGAGAGAAAGTTAAACAAAAGATGTCCGCCATTGCTGGTGGACCTGACAAAAGAAAACCACCACCGTGACTGRTGGACCTTTTTGTTTTGCTCACTCTCATGGGAAGTCGTGAATACAAAATCATGAAAATTCCCTTACAATGTTTTATGGGTCTTCATATGTGGTCTGAGCTGCACACCAAGTCTTTTGCATCGTTCAGCCATTTCTTGGCAGTTTTTCTTCACTTTATCAATGTCCACCACAAGAGCTGGGGTTCTAAGATCTTCGAAGGAACTCATTGTTTAAAGCCAGACGAAGCCAGACATGCAACTGCAGAWGGGCCCTGGAAGGTACTCTGACTGCTGACTGACTCTGACTGCTGCGGTACTCTGCGGATCATCAGTTGGAGACTGGTACCGAACGTAAAGACGTACGATTCAAGATGGCCCGCGCTACGAACAGAATTCGTCTCGAAGAAGACGATATTTTTCCAGCTAAAACTGAAGGTCCTGCAAATGTTTACTCTTCCACGGCTTTTCTTTTAGTCAAGCCAAGGTAATAATGCATGTTTATGTGTTATTCGATGTTGCATTTGMCTAAAAATGATGCTTACRTTGCCGTCGTAGATGGATGCCCGATGAAGAAGCTCATGTTTGTCCACTCTGTGCTCAAAAGTTTAACCAACTACGGCGCAAACAYCATTGTAGACAATGTGGGAAGRTTTTATGCAACAAGTGCTGCAATGAAAAGGTTAGATTATTGATYAATTATCGAAATTGATTGTTTCAGCTCTTTACCAATCGTTGTAGCAATATCGAAAAGTCACAGCTTTTGACGTTGATTCTCGATCATTTGACTTTTTGATTTGCTACTACGCTTTCTATAAATTCATTGGTATATTTTACAGGTTCCATTACCACAAATGGGTTTTGAAGACCCGGAAAGAATCTGCGATTTCTGCCTTCCAGTGACGACTCTTATTACAAAGTCACGATCACCTCAATTGGTAATGATATCCTAATATTATTATCAGTGGTAATAATTATAGTTATTAATATTATCTTCATTATTGACCGTAATGATATTCTCACTTTCACTCACCGATTTTCCCAATGTTCATTTATTTAAATCCATTCTTCTCTATTAATTCATAGCTTTACCATCCGTTTGTTCATTTGTTCATACATTCATTCTTGATTCCAAATTTTGTTTTTGATGCTCCAGGCGTTCAAGCTAGAATCAGCTCAGTCACTCGCAGAGATGTTCAAAGATCCCCCAAATTTGAAGAAGGTAGGTAAATATTGTTACTATATATGTATTAGTAATGTCAATATTGTTAATTCCTAAAATTGATATATACAAACTTCAATGATTGAATGTTAACAAGCCATTGGTGTTGGTCCCATCAAACTGCTGTCAAGACTCCTCCTTCTAGACCAACCATACTGAGAGCAATGTTTAGATGACACCATAACTAGATATTAGCAATATCTGCAGCAAATAGTGAATGGCTTGCGGACTCTTTGACAATATTGTTGTTCTGTTTCAGTGTGTTGAACTGGGCGGTGTGCAGACGATCATCTATCTTAGTCAGAGTAACAGTGATGATGTCAAAGTATGTCTGAAGTCTAGACTAACTTTTATTGGTATTCCTGGACAGCTGGTTTGCACAAGAGATCCAGTGCTAGTACACATTTTATTGCTCATGTGAACCAGGCTTAAGAGTTCCAGATTATGATATTGCCATGTTATCTCAGAGCTACAGTAAAACTGATTTCCAAAAACAACTATCCTAAAATTGGAAAAATTTCAGCTAAACTGAACGTGTATAACAAATCTATCCTAACCATTGTCGATTGAATTCTGTTCTTTAGGCTGCAGTATCAGATGGACTAAAAACACTATCCACACATAATCCTCTGCACTCTATGCTGGCCAAGTGTGGTGCAATCAAAGCATTATGTGGGTATGTCATGATGCAACTCAATTCTTGCTTTCTTTTCTGTCAAGATGATCAACATAATAACATAATAAGTTATTGATGGTTTTGCAGTTGTTCTTTATCATATATTTTTATGTTCTTAGTATTTTATCATCAACTAATGAAAGCCATGAGAAAACTCTACTAGATGGCATAAGTGCACTTATGATATTCTGTAAGTCAGAAGAACTTAAAGCACAAGGTATGTTTTAATGAACATTTTGCCATAATATCTGGGCATTTTCTGTCATCCATTGTGGCCAAGCTTCACTGCAAACAGTGTATTTAATCATAAGAACAAAAGATGTGTACACCAAATGGACCGTAATGCAATGTGAAACAAGGCAGGCCTACAGACACTTAGTTGGTGTTTCCCTTGTACTTATTGATTGTATTTGTCCATTTTAGCACTAGCCGATGGAGCACTTAACCCTGTGTTGTCTTTATGCGCAATGAAAGAAGAAATTGCTTTACTAGCAATGATGACACTGAGCCACATTGTCGAACATCATGGCAACCTAGCACCACTAATAGAAGTAAGTTATGCCACTCTTAGTAGAGATATGATTATCAAATATTGAAATATATAAATGGGTGGATCAAAGGCAAATGGTTTTCAAGGATTAATTTTTTTATTAATGAATGAAAAATGCACTTGAATGATTACTTATTCAGAATTTATTTGATTTGTTTTGCTGTTTTGTTTGTTTTTGCTAGAGTGATAGAAATGCTTTACCAAGAATCTTAGCATTAACAAAGGCAAATGATGAAAAAGTAAGTGAAATCAGATTAGTTTCTTATGCTGACTTATTACTCTCTATTTACTCTTTTGTATTTATTAATCATGTCACATAAAGAATTTTATCCGTTGTGTGCCAATGTTACAATAATTAGCTTTTAGTTATCCAAAAACAAAATTGTTTAAAAATGGATTTTGTTGTCATTGTTTCAGATACAAGAAATATCGCTTAGAATATTATCTCAAATGTCAATGGGAACAGATTGGCAACGACACAGAATTGTACAAGTATGCATCATGATCTCAACCATAATTGCCTGCTAAGGAGAGAATGTACATGTGTGTGAGAAACGATGTGGTTTTGGAAAGCTGATTGTTACTGTCTGTTTGTGGAGAATTGACTGTATTTATTTTATGTTTTACAGGAGGACTTCTCAGCAGGAAGGTGTTTAGTGCATTCATTAAGAAGAGGACCAAGTAACTTACAGGTAAAATAGAACTGTCTGTCTAAAATTTTGTTTTACAACAAGGCTACTAGGCATGGAACCAGGGCCACTTTTAAAAGAAAAATAATAATATATTTTTGGTCTTAGTTTAAATGTAATGTGCTTTCTCCAAAAAGTACTTTGGACAACTCATATATCTTTTACTCAAACTGCCATAACACTTCAACTGTTATTGCTTGTATCATATATTGCGTCCTACTCCTTCAGTCAATTATTACTTCTTCTTTGTTACTAATGTTCTCCTGATGTCTGGCTATGTTATGAACATTGTATCTGTTTTGAAGGTCTTGGTGAATGCATCGTCTCTAATTGCAAATCTTGCTATGGGAGAACAAGACCAGGTTAGGTTATGTTTAATTATAGATGTTGTAATATATTGGAAGCGATGGCGGCTATATATGAACTAATGAATTTTGTAGATAAAATTTGGAAAGTTTCAGTGAATGTAATGATAGTTTCAAAGTCTTTTTATTGTTATAAGTGATTGAGTTCTTTAGGTACACAAATTAATCTTCATTTGTATACAATTTGTTTTAGATGTCATTGAGGGATTGCCTTGAAGCCATGTGCAAAGTGATGACTTCCCATGCAGAACACAAAGATATTCAGGTTTATAAACATGCGTTTTTCAGGGGCCATGGTATAAACAGCATCCCTTTTGAGCTTTTGTTTATGTTTTGAATTAAAAATACATCATGATATAAGCAAAAATTTACTCTTTATTACCCCTTTATGCTATATGAATGGAGATATTATAAGAGTTGACCCCAATTCCAACAGATGGAAATGGATTATAAATGGATATTTGGATATAAATTCAACAATGCACAACCACATTGAATGTGTTGGACCATGGCCGTTTTTAATGAGATGAAGTTTTGAAACTGTGCATGTTTATACCAAGGTCTGATTTAAAAGAAACCTTTCTGTTTAAGCTCATTAGCTTGTTTACCAATCTGATTTGATTTATCTTCAGACACATGTATCCAGAGCCTTAGCAAATTTTTCACAATTTCATCAAAACTCATCGATATTAGTAAGTGGTACTTAGAATTTACATCTAATTCCTAATTTAGTAAAAAAAAAAATGAATGCAAAAATAAGAGACTTATCTTTGAGAGTTTCCAAATAAGATTTAGAAAACTCATCTAGTTTAACTGAGGTACCTTGCAAAGCAGACGTGATTGCATATTAATATACAACCTTATTAGGGGTATCAAATGGTAAAATCCAAGCCTCGCCGAGCCTGCGAGACCCTCGTTTTAAAATCGGATATCTTGGCAATTGCGATCTTCCCAGCCAAAAGGGATTTTAAATCTGAGCCCCTTTCTTTTAAGCACCGAGCTTGCGAGCCTTGGGAAATTTTTGGCGAGCCTTGCGATTTCTGAGACATCATTCTATACCCCTGCTATTAGATCTGAGAGGATAATATATAATTATATCATCTACATACAGCCTTTTGCACAAAACCCTCGTTTTAAAATCGGATATCTTGGCAATTGCGATCTTCCCAGCCAAAAGGGATTTTAAATCTGAGCCCCTTTCTTTTAAGCACCGAGCTTGCAAGCCTTGGGAAATTTTTAGCGAGCTTCACAATTTCTGAGACACCATTCTACACCCCTCTTATTGGTATTTTTGTTTGTAGATTGGCTCACTTACACAGATAATTAAAGTTCACCTAAAGGTACTTCTGTATTTGTAATATATTCCAATTATAAAAATCATTGTGCAGTTGATTTGATGTGAATTTATTGATGATTTCTGGTCTATTTGTCTTTACTTTTATAGTCAGATGATGAAATTATCAGATGTCATGGACTACGAACAGTCATGAATCTCCTTTCTCAACAAAGAGAACAAACAGTGGCGCAACTTATGAGGTAATAATAATTAAAAGAGCTTAATATTCTCTGGTACATTATTGACTAAGATATTAAAGGTTATACTTACAACAGTTATAATTCTACATTTAAATTCAATCATACAATACTTTTTTTTAAAAAAGGTTGCTTTTTGTGTTCTTTTTTTTAACAGGGAAGGAGCAAGTGATGTTCTCACGGCTTTAGGAACATTTCCTGGTATTATTGAAGCTGTTCAGGCATCCTTACTGCATATTGTAGCACCTCTAACTCCACCTTAAGCAAGTGCTGGTCATTTGTGTATGTAAAAAACTATTTTTGAATACAGAATACTGCACTACCATATGGTGCATTCCTAGACTAAAATGAATTATTTCTATAAAGCTGCATGTTAGCTACAGTACATTACAAAATTACAATTATAAACAAAACAACCTACAAAGCATTTTGGTATGCAGTATCAGTATTCAAAAGTCAACATTTTTGAAACAGTGGCATTAAATAAGAACATACAAGATATAATCTTTTAGATTAATTGTAGCAATAACCTGATAATTTGGCATTAGTTTCAAAATCCATTTTTGAGTATTATTCAAAGATAAAAGGACTGTTATTTGTATATTAGCTATAATGCTAGAATTGGCACAGGTAYTTTTGTTAATCCAGGAAATTGTTTATCCAGATTAATTGAATTTACATTTTAAACATATTGGTAAAGTACAATTTTAGTACAACTCACATTTTTGTACAATTTTGTTGAAATGAAATTTTACCCCTTGTAAATAACTTTGTAATCCTAAAAATTTATGTATAAAAATATGGTTTATAGAAATATTATTCAAATTTCATAATTAAGGGAGTCATAGTCACAAGTCTCCATTCAAAGCATTAGTTTTTTATATCATAATTCTTTAAWTCAAATTTATAATCAATTGTAAAAGTAGCCATGAAAAGTGAAATGAAATATAATTTAGGAAAAGTATTCATGAACACCGTTAGCTGTAAAAGTAAAACATTTTTAGATTTGTAAAGATAAGCATACATTTACAGAGGCGAATCTAGATTTTTTTCACCAACAGATCTAGGATCTAGGTTTTCTTTCATCACTTGAGATGAAAATGCACAGGAAGACCAAGCTCTGTATGATAGCCTTTGTTGTCAGCTTTTCACAATATACAGTTGTCATTAAATGGTTCCTTTTTCATCTTCCACTCAGGCTAATAAAGGCTTCATATAATCTTATTTCATGAYATTCCTTGTGTAGGATTTGCTGGGTTTGTTGTCCATTAACAGGTTTTTTTCCAAACGCAAGGTTTTATCCTATAGTTTGAACTGTAAAGATAACATTCAACATACATTAAATAAACAAGAGAGATTTTCTTTCAATTAAAGAATAAAAATGAAGAATAAAAAATAAAGCTAAAAATATAAGACATTCATTGTTTTTTGTTGTTTATTATCTTGTTCAAACTGGTATTTTTTTCTTTTCATGATTGATGGAAAACCACTTTGTTGTAGTGTAGTTCTATTTAGCAGGGTTTTTTTTCATCTAAACTTGTGTTATATGCTAATGGAATAAAGATAATGTTTTGCAAATAGAAAATATTACAACATGATTTGAGAAAATGTTATTATTCAACATCATTTGATGCAAGTAAAATTCGTTTACAGCTGATCTTGAAAAGTTTGTCCACCTAATAAGACATTTCTAATGTTCCAATTTTGCCATAGGACTTATCAAAATATTAACCACTTTCCATTTGTGTGAAATGGTCTACAATGTCAGGTGGGATTAAGTGGAGAAATGACAAGGCATTATTAAAATAYCTATTTGAACATTAGAGAATGTTCTAGGTGCAGAAATTGAACACATSTCAAGACAGTTGTGACAATCGGAACATCGGAAATGTCATTTCAGGTGGTCCAGTGAATTCAATGTATGAATTATATTAAAAGTCATAATTACTTCCAGAGTAATATTACTTTTTTGATTGATGCAATTWAAAGAGCATTTACCCCATACCCCTATATTATTGCTATCATTCATTTAATTATGTTTTCTTTCTGAAAATGTATGGAAATAACTCTGTAGTATGATAATATATTATAATTTCTCCAGGGTGCTTTGATACAGTAATAAATTATTAATTACAATAACAGATTGAAAAGAAGTTGCACTGTACTATGATAAATATTCTTGTTTTCAATATTTTCATAAAATAAATTGTATGCTATTTGATAATTGATTCAAAATTGTTTTAATTGATTTATTCATTCTCTGGTATATTTGGGTTTGTCTTAGTTATTGGTATTTGTTCTCCAGCTGCCTGTTGCTGCTTTGCTGCCTGAGCTTGAAGTTTTTCAATCCAATTTGGATTTTTGCTATCAAAAATATTCCCTCCAAATGCTATCAAACCTAACTGTGTATGTGAACCCTCAGATTTAACCTTACTATTGAGGCATGCTATATACTGAGCATCTGTAAGGTCTCGTGTACAGTGTTTGTGGTGATACATGTGAAATATTCCTCTGTCAACTGATCGCACAACTTTGATCTTGCTATAAAGATATTTTCTATATAATTTGATGTCTTCTTTGCCCCAACCTTTAATTGTCAAATCAAATCCACCTGTTTTGATGAAGTCACTTCTGTAATGACATACCATGCCAAAACCATACTGTCTCCAAAAACCTGTGTCTCTGTTGATCTTAAACTGGTCACTAAGAGAAGGGGGAGGATCTCCACCATAAACTATCATAGGGTTATACAGACTGAATACAACTGGATAATAAACTTGTTGACCAGGTGACGAATAAAAGCGACACCTTTCCAGGAAATCAGGAGTAAAGTATATATCCACGTCACAGAAAAACAGTATTACATTRCCATTATTCCAGGCAAGTGCTCCCTTCTGTAATCCTAGCCCTCTTGAAAATGTTCTATTTGAAAATACAAATTTGTAATTAGTAAAGTTTTCAGCTTTGGAAATATTTGAAAGGGTGTCTTGAATTTCCTGTTTGCCTTCCTGGCCAAAGTACACAACCGTAAGGTGAACYCGGCGGTCCCAGTGRATTCCAACAGAAATAAAATGTTTCATGAAGAGGCRGAATTTTTCAATTCTTTTCGAAAGTGGAAGGATAAGGTTGATGATGTCATGGTTTGTATCAATTGTTTCAACACTTCCAAGAAGTTGTAAAGGACTGAATAACCTCACAGCCCTGACTTTATGGTACACATTCATTTGATCATTTCTGAAGTATAATTCATATTCAGCTCCTTTCAAACTATCTGTCCTTGTAATACCATCTACCAAATCAAAGTCAGARGCCTCCCTTGAGTCCTGGGAGTCTTCATTGATTTGTTTAACGGCAAAATTAACTGCGTCGTTGTATTCCTTACCATTACAAGACTGAGGAAGAGGTCGTTGTGCGGGATTGTTACTCAAACCGTTAGTTAACGAATAAATAGCATTAAACGCATAGCTGCTAAAAGTGTTMACGACAAACTCTGAATTCAAAATTTCTCCTTGGGAAAACTCTTTGGTTAAGTCTCGAAAACTACTGCTGTGTATATGATGAGTAAATTTCGATCTATCAGTGCGTTTGTAGGCCTCCACAAGAATCGATAAATCTTGATTTTTCCTGCCAAGCTTTTGGATAATATGACTTTGAGTAGAAAGCTGTTCTTTTAACTTCTTTACAAGCCTCTGAAGCTTTTGGAGTTTTTGTGAATAAACTTTAATACTATCTAGGCAATCTGTAGATCTTTTAACGACAGGGCGAACACCGTCGTCGCAYTGGCAAATAAAAAGCAATGATATTTGACCAAGCAACACAATCACCAAAATGGTACACGTGGCTTTGAAGACTACAGACTTCGAAGGTTTAGCCATCRTCTTTCATCGACACATTRTATCCTGMTAACAACAGTTAAGTGGCACACACTATCCTATGGTTCTTGCAATAATCCATGCTATTATCACGGCATGGTACCAAAAATTTTGATTCAAAACTATCAACTTATCAGCTGTGTTTACTTTCACAGAATAAATAATTTTACAAGTGTGGCGGGGGAGTACTGGGCTCCACAGGCAGTCTTTGCAATAATAAATTTGACACTTGCTGAAATTGGTTATAATTTTAATCTTTAACTTCTTGGTACCTTTATAAATCCCATAGGAAAATMAAAATCAAAAGGCAATACCTATCAAAATGTACAAAAATTATTATAAGTGGGCTTCCTGTGTAATAGATTCCGCTGTTTTTGAAAACAGTTGGCTCATKCATGTGGAAGGAGTCTTAACAGCAAGTTTACGTATTTTGTTAGAAAAAGGTTTATTCTTAATCATATCATACAGAAAGGATGTGTACAATCAGACCATTTAGATGTGAAGACATGTTTAGATTCACTAATGTGTAAGTCTTTTTTCATTATTTTGATGGATTTCTGGACAACAGCAGTCACCTTGAGTTGCACTAGATGCTTTATAAAATCACTGAAAGTGCATCTATTTATATAAGACTTGTTATTGTTATAAGTTTTAATAGACATAATACTATGACTAGTGCATATCAAAGTCAGTTCGTCTCTATCATGTTGTGCACCACACACCAATTAGTTGTTAGAGGGCTGGTTTACTGTTCAGCAGGTCGTCAAGGATCAAAGTCTCAGACCACTTCTTTTCACTTTACATTTAAGCTTATATAGCAAACCCTAGCCTTTGCCAGTCTCAACTACTACAGCATCAACACAMCATCTATTGTAATCAGTCATGTGATTCAGGTTTAATGTGTGTGGTAGACAAAACATATGCCATCACAATCTTTGTYATATGGACTAAAGATAAACTTGTTACTTCCCTTGGATTAGTCTAAGCCACTAAGACAAAATATGGCAGCTTGTTGCATGGATTAATCCAAAACATTATAAAGGGGATGACCTAAGCTATTCCAATAACCCCCAAGATCCACACTTGGGTAAATATTTCTTTTGTTTATAACTCTTTGTTTTTCCTTTTACAGAAATCTTGACCCCTTAACAGAAAATGTATCCTTGAAGAAAAAATTAAAAGAAAATGGAGAAGGAAGAAGCTGTTAATTGCTGTTGAATATTTTGCCTTGATTTATTGTGTTGATTGTGGATTTATCCTTAACTTTGTTAGTATGGTTTAGCATTCTATCTGCAGTATCTAGCTCACTGGCCTGAATACTTCCAAGTAATTGAATCAYCAAATGGACAAATCATGGGTTATAGTATGTTTTCTTTTAATAGCTTTTTGCTATTTATTAGCTTTTGTAGTTTAAAATGCTCATTTGTTTATTCTTGACATTCATTGATTTGTCATAATTGTAAATAAAAACTTTTTATTCATTAATGATAGTTATGGGAAAAGCAGAAGGAGATGCCTCCAAAGAATTATGGCATGGTCATGTGACAGCTCTTAGTGTTGCTCCTGAATATAGACGGCTAGGAATTGCAGGAACTCTTATGTCAAGTTTGGAAGCTATATCAGAGAAGTGAGTTTGTTTTTTAATTCTAAAACATTTTTGTTTCTCTTTATATTAATAACACATCATATCATGTAGCTACAGGTAGTGATTTTTATGATTAGTTAACATTTAAGTGCAATTATTATACCTAGAAAAGAGTACAATAAATATCTTGCAATTGTATCATCAAATGAACAAATGCATAAKTCTGTTCTAGGTCTATTCTTAAACAAACATTTAATATTTACTTTTCTATTTGCAGAAAAAATGCTTTTTTTGTGGATCTGTTTGTAAGAGTGTCAAATCGAATAGCTGTTAATGTGTATAAAAAGTTGGGATATATTGTATATCGCACAGTGCTGGATTACTATTCTGGAGACCCAGATGAAGATGCATATGGTATGAAACAGTTGCTACTTMCCCTCCACCTCTAAGGGTCCCATCAAGAACCCCCCWCACYTCCCCCCTGTTTTCACCTTTACAAGTGAAATGTCACTATGGCCTACAAAAGTGGCAGYCCCTTCGAGTCAATAATTTAACTTTGATAATTGACTTCACCCTTCCTCAAGATAATATGAATGTCATCACAATCTTATAATGATTAACCAATARTAAGTGATATTTGATGCTTTCCTCTTTTAGATATGAGAAAGGCTTTAACCAGGGACAGAGATAAAAAGTCAGTAATACCCCTGAAAGAGCCTGTTAGACCAGAGGACATTGAGTAGAGTGGTGTCAGTAGTTTACAGGTAAAGCTTTCTAAGCCTCTGCACTTCTAGTGGAGACAGTGCCAACACAGCTATTTTAT